AGACGCAGCCTGCACTGCGTGGAGCATTTCTTTGACGACGTCCCGGAGATGTGTTTTAGACGTGTAAAAACGTTGAGTTGATTTCTGTTTTCACTCCATGTGACGGAGGTTTTCTGTACAAACCGCTCGATGCTGGGACGATGTGTATGTTTGTATTGATTTTGTGCAAAAATCACAAGTAAATAATATCCAATATTCATAATGGCGTCTCTTTGAAGGATTTCTGATGCTTTTACAGCAGAAACCCAACGACACAATGATAGTTAGTTTGCAACGTCCCCCCCCCAAAGAAGCCCTTATCTTCGGTCTTGATGTCTTTCATTCCCCCTTAGAGAATGTAAAACCAATGAAACGATACTCCGTTAGCTGATCATGTTTCAACACGTGAGATGGTAAACTGAGTGACCCCCCCCCCCCCCGACTGAAGGGTCCCCACTGTCACTAATAAAACATGTATCTCCATCTGTTGACTTTTCTAAGGGCTCCAATCACTGCTGACCAGGTGGGAAGTAACTAAGTACATGTACTTCAGTACAATTTACTCTAGTGGTACTTGTACTTTACTTGGTATTTCCACTTATACTCAAGTACAAGATCTGAGTACTTTTACTTGAGTACCAGATCTGAGTACTTCTACTTTTACTTGAGTACCAGATCTGAGTACTTCTACTTTTACTCAAGAACAAGATCTGAGTACTTCTACTTTTACTCAAGTACAAGATCTGAGTACTTCTACTTTTACTCAAGTACAAGATCTGAGTACTTCTACTTTTACTACAAGATCTGAGTACTTCTACTTTTACTCAAGTACAACATCTGAGTACTTCTACTTTACTCAAGTACAAGATCTGAGTACTTCTACTTTACTCAAGTACAATATCTGAGTACTTCTACTTTTACTACAAGATCTGAGTACTTCTACTTTTACTCAAGTACAACATCTGAGTACTTCTACTTTACTCAAGTACAAGATCTGAGTACTTCTACTTTTACTACAACATCTGAGTACTTCTACTTTTACTCAAGTACAACATCTGAGTACTTCTACTTTACTCAAGTACAAGATCTGAGTACTTCTACTTTTACTACAACATCTGAGTACTTCTACTTTTACTCAAGTACAACATCTGTGTACTTCTACTTTACTCAAGTACAAGATCTGAGTACTTCTACTTTTACTACAACATCTGAGTACTTGTCCCCTCTGGTAGAGGTAAAGCCACTCTTATTAGTTGCATGTTAAGTATGGAATCACCAAAGGGACAAAAAGCCAAAACAGCATCTGCATTTGTTTTTGTTTTATTCTCGTACAAAACAAAAACTCAAATCAACAAAGACTCAAATCAACAAAGACTCAAATCAACAAAGACTCAAATCAACAAAGACTCAAATCAACAAAGACTCAAATCAACAAAGACTCAAATCAACAAAGACTCAAATCAACAAAGACTCAAATCAACAAAGACTCAAATCAACAAAAACTCAAATCACCACCTGAGCTGTTCTGGACTAGAAGTCTTGGGTTGAAGGGGAAGACAACAGACCAAAAACAAAGATAGCTAAAGTAAAGAATAAAATAGGTTTCTTCTTAAAACACATTGGTGTTGTTACTGCAGGTGTCCAGCAGGGGGCGACATCACTGCATTGATGTTTTACTAATTGATAAAAAGCTGTTCAAGCTCAACGTGTTTCTTTGAACGCAGCATCAGTTTAGTGACTGCATACAATACCAATTAGGACACATGCACACACCAGAGCCTCTTCCCAATACCCCTCCTCGACTCCTCCTTTCCCTCACTCGCCTCCCTTCCTTGCATCTTAGCTCCGCCTCCGTCAGATGCGAGCGAGAGACACGAGGAGGTGGCGCGAGGACAGAGGAGTCCTCGGGTATTAATAGGGATGTCCTCATTCACTCAAACGTCACTCTTAAATGACGTCTGTTAATGATGACATGTGCACAGCTGTATCCCCTCTCATCGGGCTGAACTGAAGAACCCTTAGAACCGGCCCATTTGTTGTTAAATATTTATTTAAATGAATGAATCTTTCTCTTGTTAGTCAAGGAGTTCAATGTGTGATGGTTGGTCCTGCTTTTGTGTAAAATGTAGCCTACATTTAAATAAAAATATAATGATAGTAATGTGAAATCCTTTACTCTGAAAATGTGTGTCCTGCAGATCCCCGCATTCACCACAAACCCACATTCAGGACTGCATTTAAAATAATTTAACTCCTGAATATCTTCACACAAAACAATACAAATAATTGTTATTTATCAAGATCTAGCCATTTATCAAATAACTTTCTTAATAGCTATGTTTTAGTGACGTTCAAGATCATTAAACCTGACTTAAATTGTTAGTATAACCTTAAGAAATGAATTGCACGTAATAATTCCCAAGGAGCTGTGAGCACTTATACATTTATGTGACGCTTTTCCACAGTAGTGAAAGCACTTCCGCGTAGTCTGCTCGCGTGTATCCTCCCTTTCGTCTCCTCCCGCACCCCTCCTCCCTCACCCCTCCTCCCGCACCCCTCCTCCCTCACCCCCTCCCTCCCTCACCCCTCCTCCCGCACCCCTCCCTCCCTCACCCCTCCTCCCGCACCCCTCCTCCCTCACCCCTCCTCCCTCACCCCCTCCCTCCCTCACCCCTCCTCCCTCACCCTCCTCCCTCACCCCTCCTCCCTCACCCCTCCTCCCTCACCCCTCCTCCCGCACCCCTCCTCCCTCACCCCTCCTCCCTCACCCCTCCTCGACTCCTCCGTGTGCATTTCAGCTATTGGGACGTCCTTCAACATGGCGTGTCTTGATCGATTTCCGGGTCAAGTCCCGGAGGAGAGGAGTCGAGGAGGGGTATTGGGATGAGGCTCAGGTAACATGCACTTTGAGAGAAAGTGGTGTTACCGTCTGTGTGCACGTTATGATAGAAACGGGGACATTTCTGTATAAATGTATTAAATCTGTAAAATGTGAAACATCAGGAAACACAAAGAGAGCTGAACAATAAATATTCTTTATATCAAAATCTGACAGAGTACAGTTTTAAAATGTAGGAGCTGCAATATTAATACACATGTACTTTTCTGCAGAGAGAAACAAAGTAAATCGAAATGAATGTGGTGTTTTCCACATGGAGCTAATGGGAGACACGTTTCCTGATTCTCACAATGACACAATTAAGAGAATAACACCAGGTTATAAAACCCATACATTTCTTTAAAAAAACTAATTTAAAATAACTTAAAAACCCACAACAAATCTTTACCTTTTACAAAGAGGGTTTGTTATAAAGTGTAATCATTCCAGCATGTTTAATCACCATATTTAATTCACTTTTATACCCAAAAACTGCATTTATGGATCATTAACAATTCATACTTATTAGCAGAAATGTGACAGAAAAGATGTGAAACCACTGGAGTCTGAAACACCCAGTTACACCCACGTGCTCTGCGTTACATGTAGCCACTGCATTTAAACGACTGTCTCTCATGGTGTAATGTCACCCTGCGGCACACACCATGAAACACTCATTTCAATTGTGTTGAAACCGCAGTTATGAGCAGTGTGTAGTGGTCGTTGGCCGTTCCCCCACTTATTTGGGGCCCTGCTTTTTTGAAGCATGATTTTTGTGTGAATAGTCTAAAATATAAAATCATTGCCAGCGTTATCAGAGGGAGAGGGAGAGAAGCCGCGCTGTCTGCTTATTTGCAATGACGTAGCTCAAGCATTTATGCAACTTGATTTGAAGTGTGTGTGTGTGTGTGTGTGTGTGGAATAATGCCCGAAGCGGTTTGCAGACAAGATCCCGCCCGTTTCGTGAGTGCACTGCGCGCGTGTGGCATTGTTTGGGAAGACCTAATTAAAATAGCGTCCACCCAGTAAAACAAAATCCCCACAACACCACAGGTTATAAATCACCAATAAATACAAATGTCGTTAAATGTAAGTTTCAAACCAGATTCAGGTTCATCAGACTTATTTTTTAATTACAAAAACAGTCTGGAAATGTCTTTCTTCTTCCCGTTGAAAGTCAAGAGCATTCTTTCATTTATCTCTTGAAAGCGTGACACGTGGCTGATGCGTTTTATAAAAATCTAAAAGTGTGTTTTGTATTAAATCTTCTGGAAGTGCTGCGCTTAATCTGAGGATACATTCAGGAGATTCATTCACAAAAACACGTCTGCTTTCGACTAAATCATTTCGTATGAATAACTGCGGTGGCCTCTGAGTGTCCTGTTGACCTCATGGAAAAAGAAGTTAATGTTTTGAATGTAAAAGTCTATTTTGTGTACAATATTTCTGTATCAAAAAAGCTACACAGATAATACATTCTTTGAGTGTAAAGCAAGCTGCATGTCCGTCTGTCAGATTTCCATCAGAGTGACGCCTCCTTGTTCCTCTTTAGTTCATAGTTCAGGAAAAGCCCTTTAAATCCAATGAGTCCCGTTGTCTCTGGAGGAAAGTGAAAACGTTCCTCCGGCTACCTGCTGGTTATCCTGCTTCCTGATTGGTCCGTTTACGTCCAATGGCGGAGCAGCGTTGATGCGAGCAGAGAAGACGACAGGATGCAGAGGGACGGGAAGATGGCCGCCGCGCCGCCGCACTCCTTAGCATCTTCCTGAGAATTTAGACCAAAGACTTAAACAGGTATCTCCATTTATATAATAATTACTGCTGAAGTGTTTATTTCCTCATGATCTGTGTTCAGACCGTCAGCGTGCATCGACTGAGTAACACACTGTCACTGAGCAGCGAAGAAGAGTTACTCTGATCTGTATTTGTTTGTATTTATTGCACTTTAGAAATACTTTGCTACGAGGAAAAGTACTGTGGAAAATACAACAAATAAGTCATAGTGCACTTTGTCGAAATAGAGTATGTTAGAAAATATGAACATTTAATAGTGTACCATGTCAGAAACATTTAGAAATAAGAACAAGTCAGAGCTGGTATGTTTAAGCTTTGGAAATAAAAAAAAGCAAAGAATATTAGGTCAAAAACATCATGTTTTCTTACTGCAACAATTTAACAATCCCATCTCAAATATATTTATTCAACTGATCAACGTTTTACCTTGTTGTGATTAACAGTTACTTCTATAATAGTATTTGTAATTGTATTATCCATGTGTGAACTCTCTCCTGTATTTCCCTCTCTGCTGCTTTGACTCCTGAATCTCCCTCAGGGTATTAAAGGTGGGGTAGGTAAGTTTCAGAAACCGGCTCGAGTGCATTAAAATTTGAAAGTACACAGCCGAAAAGAATCCACCCCTTCCTTCAGACTTCCTTACAGAGCACCTCCTCCAACACACATGAACGCGCACATGACGTCAGCAGACTGGTGAGAGTGGCCGCCTGTTGCTGGCGAGTCATTGAAGTACTGCTGCAATGCACGCCCAATGACGGCACGCCCAATGAGGGCACGAGATACATTTGTGCGTGCACGAGATGGAAGGCTGACAGACAGGGCGGCAATCCAATCCGTTTAGCCGGCCCGGCTAAACGGATTGGATGTACTTTTTACAGTATCACGGCTTCCACAGATTACATTTTTTTATGGATTTTTTGTCAAAGCACTTCAGATATTCATTGCTATCGGGATGTTAAGAGCATTCCATGGAATATAACAACAAGTGTATCTCGAGCCGGTTTCTGAAACTTACCTACCCCACCTTTAATGTTCCATGTTCTCCACGGTTCACTGAGCCTCCATCAACACGGACCTGTTTGCATCGTGCTACTTCTTTGTCTGTATATCATATTCCATTTACGTGTAGACAGACTCTTCTTGCACTATTTCTATTTTATTGGTATTTACTTGCTCATCTTACAACAATCTCTTGCACTATTTTATTTATATTCTGATATTTCTTGGACTATTATGTTGTATTTGTTTTATCTCCTATATACATATTGTTGCGTTGTTGGAGGAGCCTGGGACTTAAGTTTCAACGTAGAGTCCATAACATGAGAGAGTGATAGAATAGTGAGTCCATAACATGAGAGAGTGATAGAATAGAGAGTCCATAACATGAGAGAGTGATAGAATAGAGAGTCCATAACATGAGAGAGTGATAGAATAGTGAGTCCATAACATGAGAGAGTGATAGAATAGTGAGTCCATAACATGAGAGAGTGATAGAATAGAGAGTCCATAACATGAGAGAGTGATAGAATAGAGAGTCCATAACATGAGAGAGTGATAGAATAGTGAGTCCATAACATGAGAGAGTGATAGAATAGTGAGTCCATAACATGAGAGTGATAGAATAGAGAGTCCATAACATGAGAGAGTGATAGAATAGAGAGTCCATAGCATGAGAGAGTGATAGAATAGAGAGTCCATAACATGAGAGAGTGATAGAATAGTGAGTCCATAACATGAGAGTGATAGAATAGTGAGTCCATAACATGAGAGAGTGATAGAATAGTGAGTCCATAACATGAGAGAGTGATAGAATAGTGAGTCCATAACATGAGAGAGTGATAGAATAGTGAGTCCATAACATGAGAGTTATAGAATAGTGAGTCCATAACATGAGAGAGTGATAGAATAGTGAGTCCATAACATGAGAGTGATAGAATAGAGAGTCCATAACATGAGAGAGTGATAGAATAGAGAGTCCATAACATGAGAGAGTGATAGAATAGTGAGTCCATAACATGAGAGAGTGATAGAATAGTGAGTCCATAACATGAGAGTGATAGAATAGAGAGTCCATAACATGAGAGAGTGATAGAATAGTGAGTCCATAACATGAGTGATAGAATAGTGAGTCCATAACATGAGAGAGTGATAGAATAGTGAGTCCATAACATGAGAGAGTGATAGAATAGTGAGTCCATAACATGAGAGTTATAGAATAGTGAGTCCATAACATGAGAGAGTGATAGAATAGTGAGTCCATAACATGAGAGAGTGATAGAATAGTGAGTCCATAACATGAGAGAGTGATAGAATAGTGAGTCCATAACATGAGAGAGTGATAGAATAGTGAGTCCATAACATGAGAGAGTGATAGAATAGTGAGTCCATAACATGAGAGAGTGATAGAATAGTGTATCCATAACATGAGAGAGTGATAGAATAGTGAGTCCATAACATGAGAGTGATAGAATAGTGAGTCCATAACATGAGAGAGTGATAGAATAGTGAGTCCATAACATCAGAGAGTGATAGAATAGTGAGTCCATAACATCAGAGAGTGATAGAATAGAGAGTCCATAACATGAGAGAGTGATAGAATAGTGAGTCCATAACATGAGAGAGTGATAGAATAGTGAGTCCATAACATCAGAGAGTGATAGAATAGTGAGTCCATAACATGAGAGAGTGATAGAATAGTGAGTCCATAACATGAGAGAGTGATAGAATAGTGAGTCCATAACATGAGAGAGTGATAGAATAGTGAGTCCATAACATCAGAGAGTGATAGAATAGAGAGTCCATAACATGAGAGAGTGATAGAATAGTGAGTCCATAACATCAGAGAGTGATAGAATAGTGAGTCCATAACATGAGAGAGTGATAGAATAGTGAGTCCATAACATGAGAGAGTGATAGAATAGAGAGTCCATAACATGAGAGAGTGATAGAATAGTGAGTCCATAACATGAGAGAGTGATAGAATAGAGAGTCCATAACATGAGAGAGTGATAGAATAGAGAGTCCATAACATGAGAGAGTGATAGAATAGTGAGTCCATAACATGAGAGAGTGATAGAATAGTGAGTCCATAACATCAGAGAGTGATAGAATAGAGAGTCCATAACATGAGAGAGTGATAGAATAGTGAGTCCATAACACGAGAGAGTGATAGAATAGTGAGTCCATAACATCAGAGAGTGATAGAATAGAGAGTCCATAACATGAGAGAGTGATAGAATAGTGAGTCCATAACATGAGAGAGTGATAGAATAGTGAGTCCATAACATCAGAGAGTGATAGAATATTGAGTCCATAACATGAGAGTGATAGAATAGTGAGTCCATAACATGAGAGAGTGATAGAATAGTGAGTCCATAACATGAGAGAGTGATAGAATAGTGAGTCCATAACATCAGAGAGTGATAGAATAGTGAGTCCATAACATGAGAGAGTGATAGAATAGTGAGTCCATAACATGAGAGTGATAGAATAGTGAGTCCATAACATGAGAGAGTGATAGAATAGAGAGTCCATAACATGAGAGAGTGATAGAATAGAGAGTCCATAACATGAGAGAGTGATAGAATAGTGAGTCCATAACATCAGAGAGTGATAGAATAGTGAGTCCATAACATGAGAGAGTGATAGAATAGTGAGTCCATAACATGAGTGATAGAATAGTGAGTCCATAACATGAGAGAGTGATAGAATAGTGAGTCCATAACATGAGAGTGATAGAATAGTGAGTCCATAACATGAGTGATAGAATAGTGAGTCCATAACATGAGAGAGTGATAGAATAGAGAGTCCATAACATGAGAGAGTGATAGAATAGTGAGTCCATAACATGAGAGAGTGATAGAATAGTGAGTCCATAACATGAGTGTGATAGAATAGAGAGTCCATAACATGAGAGAGTGATAGAATAGTGAGTCCATAACATCAGAGAGTGATAGAATAGAGAGTCCATAACATGAGAGTGATAGAATAGTGAGTCCATAACATGAGAGAGTGATAGAATAGAGAGTCCATAACATGAGAGAGTGATAGAATAGTGAGTCCATAACATGAGAGAGTGATAGAATAGTGAGTCCATAACATGAGAGAGTGATAGAATAGTGAGTCCATAACATGAGAGAGTGATAGAATAGTGAGTCCATAACATGAGAGAGTGATAGAATAGTGAGTCCATAACATGAGAGAGTGATAGAATAGAGAGTCCATAACATGAGAGAGTGATAGAATAGTGAGTCCATAACATGAGAGAGTGATAGAATAGTGAGTCCATAACATGAGAGAGTGATAGAATAGTGAGTCCATAACATGAGAGTGATAGAATAGTGAGTCCATAACATGAGAGAGTGATAGAATAGAGAGTCCATAACATCAGAGAGTGATAGAATAGTGAGTCCATAACATCAGAGTGATAGAATAGTGAGTCCATAACATGAGTGATAGAATAGTGAGTCCATAACATGAGAGAATGATAGAATAGTGAGTCCATAACATGAGAGTGATAGAATAGTGAGTCCATAACATGAGAGTGATAGAATAGTGAGTCCATAACATGAGAGAGTGATAGAATAGAGAGTCCATAACATGAGAGAGTGATAGAATAGTGAGTCCATAACATCAGAGAGTGATAGAATAGTGAGTCCATAACATGAGTGATAGAATAGTGAGTCCATAACATGAGAGAGTGATAGAATAGTGAGTCCATAACATGAGAGTGATAGAATAGTGAGTCCATAACATGAGAGTGTGATAGAATAGAGAGTCCATAACATGAGAGTGTGATAGAATAGAGAGTCCATAACATGAGAGTGATAGAATAGTGAGTCCATAACATGAGAGAGTGATAGAATAGAGAGTCCATAACATGAGAGAGTGATAGAATAGTGAGTCCATAACATGAGAGTGATAGAATAGAGAGTCCATAACATGAGAGAGTGATAGAATAGAGAGTCCATA